GAACGAAATGCTCCGCGCACACAGGGAGTTGCTCTGATACTGTCCAAAGAAGAACATAAAGCACTTATACGATAGGAATCTCATGGGACGACATGGACTGACTAGGAGTGGTTTTCAAATTTATGTGCATTCAACAAAATGGTTATAGGCGGTACACTGTCCCCCCACAAACGCATACACAAAGCTACATGGGTCTCACCGGACCACACTACATAGAACCAGATCGATCATATTTGCATCAGTAAAATATTCACAAGGTCTATGGAAGACGTTAGAAACAAGAGACTACGTTACATAGCTTCAGATCACAAACTGGTGGTTATCAAGATGAAACTAAAGCTAAAGATGAACTGAGCAACTGAGGAAACGGCGTTACAGAGATTCGGTGCAGCCTTTCATCAACACACTGACAACTCAATGAATTCAAGATAACTCTCAACAACAGGTCTCAAGCTCTACAGGATCTACTGAAGGAAGAAGAAACTACTATGAAGAACAACCGGAAAGAGATAAAAGAAGCACTAACTCCAACCTGTCAGGAGCTTCTGGGCCACAAGAAGGATCATCAAAAGGATATTCATCGAAAACCTGGACAATATTCAAGAACAGAAGAACAAGAAGACGAGAACTAACAACAGCCGAACAAGAACAGAGAAAGTCAAGGCACAAGCTGAATACAAAAAACAAACAAACAAGTGAAGAAGAGCATTAGAGCCAACAAGCATAAATATGTGGAAGAGTTAGCAACGACAGTGTAAAAATTTGCAAGAGAAGGAAATACCAAACAGCTATATGACACAACGAAGAAACTAACAGAGGATTATAGAAAACCAGAGACCGGTCAAGGACAAAGAAGGCAAGACAATCACGGAGATTTAGGAACAGAGGGACAGATGGGTAGAATACTTCAAAGAACTCTCGAATAGACCAGCACAATTGAATCCACCGAACATCGAAGCAGCGCCTAAAGACCTTCCTATAACTGTCACCCCACCAACGATCGAAGAAATCAGGATGGACATCAGACATGAGCGGCAAAGCAGAAGGATATGACAAAATACCAGCTGAAGCACTGAAGTCAGATATAGGAGTAACTGCAAGTATGCTTCACGTCCTATTCAAAAGATTTGGGAGGAAGAACAAGTGCCGACAGACTGGGAAGAAGGATACCTCATCAAGATATTAAAGAAAGGAGAACTGAACGAGTGTAAAAATCACAGGGGCATCACACAACTATCGGTACAAACAAAAGTTTGCAGCTCAGTCAGTCAGCTACAACGTAGGACCAGGCACATATATGCATCGGTCCAAGTTGCCACACCTCATCAGCACGACAAGACCAACACCAAATTCATAGAAGCAGTCACTTCAATGGTAGTAATATATAAAGTAACATTGTGCATAAGGATACAATACCGGAAGGAACAATTAGTTCACAGAAAGAAAGGTATAAAGTAGTTTTAATCTCACGGTTTAAGGGAAGACAGGGAGTGCATACACCGACGTCATTGTGATCGATTCTGAGCCATGTCACCAAGAGTCTCTAACCATCGGTTACGAAAGTCACGCGGACCCCAACCAAGTAGTCTGCATCTACCAACATGTTACGGACTAGAAGTCAGTGACTTCAAGGACTAATGCAACGTTTTAGTTTGGTTCCCCCTCCTTAACTTTCCTCCAGCTGTCTCCAACACTAGTCAGCATTGCGCGTTATGGTAATCGGTCTTCAGGCATACGTAACACGTGGCCCAACCATCTCAGTCGATGAAGATCCACAACCTCATCAACTGATTTACCATCGTTCCCTAATACCCTGCGTCTAACCTCACTACTACTTACCCGGTGATCCCGGCAGATGCCAGCAATATTTCTAAGACATCTGTGGTCAAATACTAGTAGCTTACGGGTGTCTTCTACTCTTAATGGCCACGGTTCGTAGCCGTAAAGTAAAACAGAACAAAATGCCGCGCAGTATACACGTCCCTTAATTGATAGACGGATATCTCGCCTTCGCCATAGGTGACGTGAGTAGGCAAAAGCCAAACGAGCTTTTCGAATCCGTGTTGACATTTCGTCAGACACCAACCATTAGGGCTGATCAAACTTCAAAGTAAAGTTGTCAACGCGTTCCACTACTACACTCCCTATCCTTAGTTCAGGTGTTGACGCAGATCAGTCCTGAAGCAACAACTTGCATTTATGGAGAGAGAAGCGCATTCCAAACATTCTGGCATTGTTGCTTATTGCTACCAAAAGACTCTGCATTTTATCAGCGTCTTCACTAAACAGGACTATATCATCTGCGTATTCCAAGTCAATAAATGGACCTCCTGGTAGATCAATGCCTGAAAATCCGGTCGACGAGAGCGTTATTTCCATCAGTAGATCTATGATGAAGTTAAACAAAAATGAAGAAAGTGGACAGCCTTGACGAACACTACTTGAGGTTGCAAAAGCAGATGACAGTTCGCCATAAGCTCTGACTCGACTAGTAGTGTTCGAGTAAAGAGTCTGAACAAGCTTTAGGTACTTGTGAGGTACGCCTTTCAATGACAGACACTGCTACAGAATCTCGCGGTCTACGGAGTCAAATGGTGCTTTTAAGTCAAGAAAGACCACCATTGTCGGACGCCGATAAGCATGCCTGTGTTCAGCCTGTTTTTAACTATGTTGCTTAACCGGGTGAAACTCAGTAAACGCCCCACTTCCTGGTCAACAGGCCAAACTCCACAAAGACCGATCGTGCACAAACCCAACTGCGATACTACGGATCATTATTGAACAACCAGTTGAATGGAACGTCATTATACATCAAATTAATTGACTATGAGGAAGCATTTGATAGTGTGAATAGGATAATCTTATGTAAGCTTAATCGACGTTATAGTGTGCCTGACAAGATCATCAACATCATCCGGAATTCATGCAACGGACTAAACTGCACAGTCGTGCATGGATGACAGCCGACTGACACATCCCAAAGAATAACCGGAGTCAGACAAGGCTGCCTACTCTCTACCTCCCTCTTTCTTCCGGTAGTCGACTGCATTACGAAAACCTACACACCTCACGGGAAGCACAGAATACAATGGACAACTTACAGGTAAATAGACAGCAGCCTCTGCAGCGGTAGGCCTCAAGATACTTACTTACGCCTGTTACTCCTAATGGAGCATAGGCCGCCGACAAGCATTCTCTAACCCACTCTATCCTGGGCCTTCTTTTCTAATTCTATCCAACTCTTGTTCATTTTTCTCATGTCTATTTCCATTTCTCGGCGTAATGTGTTCTTTGGTCTTCCTCTTCTCCTTTGGCCTTGAGGATACTAAATGATGGCTTGCGTTGTGGCGCAGTTGGGTGCTTTCCTCAATGTGTGTCTTATCCACTTCCAGCGCTTCTTCCTAATTTCTTCCTCCGTTGGGATCTGGTTTGTTCTCTCCCACTGTTGTTTGTTGCTAATATTATCTGGCCAACGGATCCGAAGTATTTTGCGTAGACAACTGTTAATAAACACCTGTATCTTCTGGATGATGGCTTTCGCAGTTCTCCAGGTTTCTGCCCCATACAGTAGAACTATCTTGACATTTGTATTGAAAATCCTGACCTTGATATTGGTTGACAGTTGCTTTGAGTTCCAGGTGTTCTTCAGTTGTAAATAGGCCTCAACATACACAATGGAAAAATTAAGATCCTCAAATATAACATGGAGAACACTAACACAAACACACTCGACTGACTAACTCTGGAAACGTTTACGTACCCGAACAGCATCACCAACGAACGATGAAGATCTAATGCGGATGTAAAGGCGAGGATTGACAAACCAAGGGAAACATTTCTACAACTGAAGGACATGTCGCACTCATAACAACTGTCAACCATTATCAAAGTCACAATCTTTAATACGAACGTCAAGACAGTTCTAATGTGCGGAACTGAATCTTCGAGAACTACTACAACTATCATCAAAAAAGTACAAGTATTTATAAACCATTGTCTACCCTAGACACTCAACGTCCGTTCACCAGATACCATCAGCAACAGACTACTATGGGAGAGAACAAACCAGCTTCCAACTGAAGAGGAAATTAAGAAAAGACCTTGGAAGTGGATAGGCCATACATTGAGAAAATCATCAAACTGAATCACGAAGCAAGCACAAACTTGGAATCTTGAATGAAAATAGAAAAGAGGAAGATCAAAGAACACACTATGCCGAGAATCGTTAACAGATATCCAAAGAATGAATAGCTACTGGAAACAACTCGAAAGGATAGCCCAGGACAGAGTTCGATGGAGAATGCTTGTGGGTGGTCTGTACTTCTCCACGAGGGGTAACAGGTGTAAGTAAGTAACATTAATTATAATTACGACACATTTTAATTGTAGTAATATTATAGTTCTAGAGTGCCATGAAAAATCTATAACAAGTGTAGAAATAAACAGTGGAAAATAAATACAATTAATGACAAATAGTTTAAATAAAGTTGTTATTCGCTTTTATTACATTTTAGAAATGGTAAACCTATTTAAATCGACTTGTCGTTTCTAGTGGAAGCGCCATATTTAACCTCAGAATGACTCACTTCATGATCCTACCATAAACAATGTTTTGATGAATTCGATCAAATAATTGCAATCTGTGTATGCCTTTTGCTTTCATAGGTCATGTTTCACAGCCAAATGCTCAAAGGAACTAGCATTTAGTGATAATTTTATAGTATATAACTCCGTGAAATCACTCAACTGGAAGCACTGCGTCTAAAAGTTGTGCATGTTTACAATAATAAAATGTAAAAACAACTCTGAACAAACACCCTCCTCAGGATTGAACTGTTCAAATAGTTGCACGACAGGTATATTGCCTATGGACTATCCTAACAACTCACTGATTATCAATGGGACCAATTTATACAGATATATTTATTTACACGTAAACAAGTTTAACATTATCAGACACTTAAACTTTAAACGAAATTGATTTTTTTAAATATACTCACTTTATATGGAACTAAATGTATTGAGTCAAGTACTGGAACAAGTTCACCTAATTCGTCTGTAAATTCGGGACTAGTACCACGAACAAATTCATTTGAATCTGGTGTACTACTACCTCCAGTCCCTGCACCGGAAGCAAGCATTCTACTTTTTTAAGAAATATGCTCGTGGGATGAACTGTCAGAAATATAAAGTAAACAAAAGGATTAAAGAAGAGCTATAAAAAGAGACTTTATTTATTTATTTACATACAAAAACATTGGTACAACGAGGTACCAAATACATATGCGCCACACAACAATAAGCCCAGTAGTAGTTATCAGGGATTTGTATAAAGGCTGTGATAATGTCCGAGAAACAAAACAGGTAGTTTCCTTACAGAGCCACTCCTCAGGTCTTCAACCTAAAAGTCTGATCCATAAGGCAGTGGAGCAACGTTAGGAGATCCAGTTCAAAGTAGTCAGTGACTAAAAATAGATTCATAAGTCATTTATTCTCTCACAATTTTGAAGCCTACGTGCACCATTGGTTCGGAATCACGGTTTTCCGAATCCACTAGGTGGATCCTCCGTGTCCTTTAACCCAGCCGAAATGCCGGAAATTCGCTTTTCGTCCTCTCAATTTCGTAAACAACGCTCCCTCCGAGAGAAGACAGTGAGCAGTACTTCCCTGGCAATGGCTGTATATGCGTGGCCGTGTGAGAGCATTTCGAGAGGGAGGATTGACCCTTCTCATACTTGGCCGTACCAGCGCACTTGAGGGAAGAAAATACATTGCCTGGTAACAACAGTGAAACTCAATTTACCATATGACGGGATGTTTGCTATCCATAAATGAATTGGTTGAAAGTTGGTATTTAAACATAAATTAAATAGTTAATCACCCAAAATATATACTCAGTATAAACTGAGATTTCTCTAGTATTTGAATCCAGTTGCCATCAAAGTAGGATCGCCAAAGATGTGTCTTAGAGCAAGATGCCACACGACATTAGCACGATAAGATGAAAATAAATAATCAAGAAGATTGAAATAACGTAGTAACAATGGTTATGAGAACGTTGATAAAAAGCTTCAAATAGACGGAGTCAAAAAACATTGTACCAATCAATACTGAAATTTGAGTTAGAGAGGAATACAAGTAATGAATGCATCTGGGTCAATGTGAACGATGTCACTCAAAGTCTCAAACCGTTAATCGCGTTTATAACGCGGACCTCAGTCGAGTAGTCCGTCATCACCATCGTGGCTCAGATCAACGACCAATGACTCCATGATATGATTACATATTTTTTGGCAGTCCCTAGCCTTATCCCAACAAATTTCTACACCAGCAAACATCACTTATCAAGGTAGCCGGTGATTACGCATGCGCAACACATGCCCTAACAACTTCAGACGACGAAGATTTACAAACTCATCAACCAATTTCCTAAATTTGTTCACCCTGTGAAAAACCTGAACATTGCTCACATGGTCATCTAACGAAATGCTAGCAATACTGTGATGACTATCATCAAAACGCTGAAGCCTGCATATTTCTCAGACTTTTAAATACCGTTTTTCACAGCCATAAAGTAGGAGGCGACGAAATGCTACGCAGTAAACTTGTCCTTTAGCTGTTAGTTGCATATCTCGCCCACGCCACAAGTGACGCAAGTTGGCAAAAGCTGACTGAGCTTTCTGAATCCGTGCTAAGATTTTGTCAGGTTTTAACCCAACAAGGCTGATGAAACTTGTAAGGTAAGTGAAGTGGTCAACACGCTTGAATACTTCACTCATCATTAGTTCAGGTGCTGGTGCAGACCACACCTCAAGAAACAATTTCCCCATGGGGAGAGAGAATCGCACCACGAACATGCTTGTATTGTTTCTCAAAGCGATAATATTACTTTATTTTGCCAGAGTCCTGACGAAATAGTGATATGTCGTTTGGGTATTTAAAGTGATTCATACTGTATTATGAAAACAACATATCGCATATGAATTACTTATAATATATTTCAACAAGTAGTAAAATGTAATTACCTAATGGGAAAATGGAACATAAAGATAATGAAAAGTAGTGGACACAAATTAAATAAAGGAAAAATATAATTGCAAACTACCAAACAAAAATTTTCCCGACAGTGTAAAGCTTTCTTGTTATTTATATAGGTGGAGGGAATGAAAAAGTTTACGATTTAAATCACCTTTTCTTCGTACCCACAGATAATATCATGAATTACTTGGTACCCTGGGTGTCATAAGTCCATTCAAAGAGTCTAGATGTGCTAATATGTACTAATCTTCCACTAAACAGCTTCTGAAGTGCATAAAATAAAATTTCCCTTCCTTTATTTAATCTTTATCAAAATAGCATCAGGATGACACACGTTAAATACCCCCAAGTCACACATAAAAATAGCATAAAATATTATCTCATATGTTGATGAAATAAAATTTTCTACTAGAAAAATAGATACCTTTAAAACAACTTTCCACATTGACCAGATTTTAAAAATATTGTATATAAAATCAATACTTTAAAACAGACTGGATTGGTGTTACATGCTGCGACATGATTCGGCTGTATCCGCTACCTAGATACGGTAGTTGGACTTCCAAACTTATATAACTCTATCAAGCCGTTTTGACGGACATACTTATTTTCTAAGTCTTAATAAACTAGCCATGTCAATTGGAGAGCACTAAGACTAAAAGTAACAAATACAAAGTCCGAGTGAGAAGTTTTGTTGTAGAATATACATGGGTGTGACGGAAATAGTGCTTCCCATGGAAATCCAGCATTTGCAGAGAAGCTACTTTCCAACAATTTCAATCGCCTTATTGTCAAGTTCAATATAATATACTAAAAAAGCATGCAAATCAAAGAATGGTAAGTATAACAGGGGAAATAAATTAAAATAATTGACTGTTAATAAAAGTAAATCGATAATTCTGTAATAGTCTAAATACTAAACTATCAAACTTATTTTATGAAAAATACTGACTGCTATCCGGGTAGCTGGTATAAAGTTAAAACCTGTGACATGCATGAAAACTGACCATCTGGGAAACTGAATAGAGATTTATTGAGAGAAAAAAAGGTTCTTGAAAGATAAAATTCAGCTATTTGAGCAACAATAAGTTTATGAACTGTAACCTTGAGTCGCGCTATTTGCGTGATGATCAGTGATACAGCCTGAACTATGAAATCAAGGTGAATGTGTCCAAATTAAGCTCAAGATCGAACGGTTGAAGGTAAAGAGATTTAGCTACTAAGCGACTGCTACAAGATAAAATTTCTAGCGGAAATCGGTGTGATAGAACTGAGAGTAGAATATATTCTAACTAATGAGAAGAAAATACAATACCTAACCCTTCAAATCAAACATAACCGTAATAACTACAACTAACATAAGTAGTGTGGGTAGTGTATTATTGACTGTTAAATGAAACACAAAGAAAAAAAACAAATAAGTCAAGAATCATTTGCACCTAAAGATATATTTAAATATCAGATAACTATATTTTACAATAATACAGTAAATAATATTCTCAATAGTGATTATTAAATCACGCACGTTAAGAATAACTATCTTTACAACGAATCGTATATGAGTATGAATAAGAAGTATCCCGGTCATAAAAAAAACCATTTATGCAGCTTTTGTATCGCAAAATACTACATTATATAAAATAAAACTAAACTAGTTTATAAATGCTGAATATATAGTTATTATTATTAAACGTTTAACCAACAAGAAAATATTTGCAGAGTGAACCGTGTGAGATTTATCAGTGTACGATTTTGATGTAAAAAGATTGTCAACTAACTTGAAACTATACTATCTTTTGAAGAAATAAGCAATAAACAATTTTGATGATCTAAATTACCCTCGAATACTTATTATTATTATTATTATTATTAGCTTTATTCAATATTATATTATTGGTACAATATAGAATTCTCAGCACAAAGTATTTCAACAAGTTTCCGTTTCTTTTCTTCTTGGTCGGTCCTCGCGATAAATACTGAGTGGTCGCCAGCTAGATGTTATCAGTCCAGTAAATGAACATGGTAATGATGTACATTCTTTTCGTTGTATATTGCCAGGAACCATATTCTCTCTTTTTGAGCTTTTTGTAACTTTAATAACGAAAGGTTGTACATTTTTCAGAAACGCAGCAGTATAGGTTGTGCGGTTAATAGACATAATGATATATTAAAACAAACAAAGATAGATAACTTGTTGAAATATCTAGATGGCAGGAACAGGTAGCCCAGATGCTCAAGCAGGCCGCTTTATAAGAAATTTCTGAAGACCCAAATATTAAGAAATACGACACCAAAACTGAATCTTAGGTGTCTGAAACTTAACAACACTAGAACTGTAAGTTCATACAGAAACATTGACGTAACCAAAATACAGAAATAAATAGATGACATATCTAAGCATTATTCACTTAGCAATAAATATAGAAAATAATTGCTTTGGTTATTGGACTGTTGTAAATTTACTCACTTGCACTGTTGATATTCAAGAGGTTGCTCCCACTTTGAAGGAGTTATTCATTTGGTTATAAATGACTGTAAATATAGAGTTGGTTGCTTACAGTTGCTGGGATCCTATGAAATAAAACATATTTATCTATTAACGCTTTTGTCTTTATTTTTTTTCATGGGAGAACTTCTGGATGCTAATGACCATTAAGAATGTGAAAATTATTTTACGCTTTCTCTCAAAACCAAAGAGGGAAATCTCAAAAAAGACAAGGAATAAGATTTAAACGCTATTACAAAGATGTACTTTGATATTTGTGGCATTTTTAAAGACAAACAATAAACTTGATTTGTTGTTAAGGCTGTTGAACCCCAAAACACAACATACTAGGAAGAAACCAATTGTAAGATTAGATAGGTTTATAATTAATTTTCTTCGATTGACTTTCAGCGAACTGTCATTATATAAATAAGTTCATTACTTTTCCTTCAAGTGATATTCATCCAGTTTGACACATTTTTAGCTAAAAGTCAGTGTATGAAACCTATGTGTAATTCGACTAATCGGAATGTAAATTTGTCTTCTTTGATTTCTACTGAATAGATATTTTTACAAGAATTAGGTTCGGAGTAGCTAGGGCTGTCATGTCACTTACAA